CCTTGCCGGAGCCTGTGCGCCTGCTAGGTGATTTCAATTGTCGTCATACCTTTTGGGGTGATGTTCTGACAAACACCCGGGGTCGCTTTCTTGAACCATTCATCCTCGCTTCTTCCCTGTCTCTTATGAATTCTGGTGAGCCCACTCATTTGGACTCTCGGACTCGCACCCTTTCCTGTCTTGATCTTTCTCTCTGCTCGTCGTCTCTTTACTTGGATTTCATGTGGCAAGTTCTTGATGACCTCCATGGCAGTAACCATTTCCCCATCCTTGTTACCTTTTTCTCTTTTCACCCTCCCCTCTCCTTCCGAAGGTGGCAGTTTGCTAAGGCAGACTGGAGCCTATTTACCCTCAGTGCTACTCTCTGATCTCCCTTCTACCTCTCCCTCGCTCTCTCTTCCTTTTTCATAACACCATCTTTGACGCTGCCCTCTGCTCTATTCCTCGCTCTTCGTCTCGAAGACCACAGAAGTGAATTCCCTGGTGGAATGCAGACTGTGCTCGGGCTGTCCGCTGTAAGCATGCAGCCTGGAAGAGACACCGCCGCCGGTTCTACCGGTTCCCGGTAGACCCAAAGAACTCTATACATATGACTGATGTCAAAGTCTGACATTAGCATATCAGCCTGGATAGCTCCAGGACGCCTTCAAGACTCGCCCAGAAAATGGTGTTTCATTACATTCAACGCTGGTTTTTTATTAATGTTTTTTTTTACATTACTCTTGCATTCCCTTGTCCCATTAAACTGTTCCTCTTATTCCCCTACTTAGTTGTCCAACTCCACATACAGTACTTTCATAGCATTCTTGACCAGACTTGTCTTCTATACATTCCACATGGCATTGGTACAGTCAACCTTTTATTACGACATATCTTGCACAGCCCCAACATGTCATCAAACAAACCTCCAGATACTCCTCACTGCTCTATCACAGCTTTGCTTTAAACAGTTTTCTCAAACCATATAATCAAACCCATCTATACAATTTTATAATTTACCTTTTTTCTGTACCACAGAATTTTTCTTGTCAACTGTGAACGTTTCCAAGGCCTTGCTTGGAATTCTCCATATACAGTAATATTCTCATAGCAAAATGTTTGACATTTATATTTAGCTCAAAATATATAAGCTAAAAATTATTAGCGAAATTCAATGTCGAGATTCAACATTGGCCGTTTCTTATTTCCAGTAAATTTAAATCCGTAGAGTATTGCTGGGTTCCCAGCCATATTGGTTTCTTTAAATGAGCGTGCGGATGCTGTCGCTAGAGAAGCTATCCGCTCTTGTTCCATCTCCCATAAAGGTATTCCTTATTCCGACTTTTAGCCGGTTAATCATTCTTCCATCCTTGCCCATTGGCAGGGTTGTTGGTCTTCTGTTGTTGGTAATAAACTGCGTACTCTTAAGCATAGCGTGTTCCCATGGCCTACCTCCTACCACCATAACCAGCAATGGGAAACGGCTCTTAACAAGGTTACGTATTGGCCATACACGCTTAACTCACGGTCACTTAGTGGAGTGCCGCCCTGCTCCTTATTGTCCAAATTGCATTGTCCCTCTTACAGTCGTGCATATCCTTGTTGAATGTCCTGACTTCCAGGACGAGCATGTGTTTTGCTTTCTGACCGTCCCTCGTGGTCACTTGTCCCTCAATAGAATTCTTGGTGAATCAGATACTTTTGATATCGTTCACCTTACACATTTCTGTTCTCATATTGGCATCCTTGGTGATATTTAACGCCCTCTGATTATTCCGCACATTTGATAGTGCTACATAGCCTTCCCGGTTTGGTGCCTTCTTTTGATAATTACTTACTTATTTTGGTATTTTTGTTTACTTTATATATGTATCATGTGGAAAGAGGTTTACTAGTTAACCCCTTCCCTTCGATACTCTGGAGCATTTTGTTCCCACTGTGGGAACAGTGGGAATCTGTTTGTAAAGCACATACAATATTAACATTTTTATTGTGTTTTCTATTAAATTGTTAGTTAGAAAAGTCTTGTTCTTTCCATTTACATACCATTAAATTAAAAAAATGATAAAAATCCATTCGGAGAGGTTTGAGATGATCCCAATAATTTAGGTGCTTTATCGTGTCAATGTATGCCGTATATGTTCTTTGTATTCCCTCTATATCAGCACTCTCTCTCCTGCTCTGAAGGGGGAAGTGAGTATTAAGCAATACTCAAAATGGAACAGCACAAGCGATTTAAATAGTACAACCATTGCGATGGGATCCCTGGATTTGAAGGTTCTCATTTGTGAAGAGAGATTGTGTGTGTGGTGTGAACACTTGAATTATATCCACTTCCAGATTCTTCTCTCTTTCTGATCCCTATAGCTACCTTCCCAGTATGGTGTAGATGCCTTCTGGTCTCATTTCTCCCTTTCCCATCTTTAGTACTCTTAGCACTTGTTGGGATTGATTTACAGCAACCGTTTGTCTGACCACCCCAGAAGTTTGTCAAGGTCCTCTTGTAACTTTCTGCACTCGTCTGTTTTCACATTCCTCATCAGCTTTGCATTATCTGCAAACATTGACATGTCTGAGCTCACTCTCCTGGTTATGTTATTCACATAAATTAGGAACAGCAGGGGTCCCAGGATACAGCCTTGTGGGACCTCACTTGTTACATTCCTACAGCTGGAAACCACCTCTCAGACTGTGACTCTTTACTTTCTGTACTTTAGATACTCCCTAATCCACTTCAGTGTTTCCCAGCTATCCCAGCCTGGTTCCTCATCTTTTACAACAATCTTTCATGCGTAACTGTGTCAAATACTGTTTGACAGTCTAGAAAAATACAGTTGTCTACCCAGCCTTTCCTGTCTTGTTTTAGTAACATTGTCAAATGTGACTCGATCATATTTGTTGGGCATGTCTTTCCATTTCTAAATCTATGCTGACTGTTTGTCACAAAGTCGATCTTATCAAGATGCTCCACCATTCTCAACCTGATTACTTTCTCTGGAACTTTGCAATAATACTTGTCAATGACACTGGTCTGTAGTTTAGTGCATCCTTTCTATCCATTTTTGAATATTGGAACTACATTTGTCTTTTTACAGACACCTGGGAGACTTCTTGTGTCAAGCATTTTATTAAAAATGTTAGACGAGTGACATCCTACTTTAGCAGCCATGGTGAGATTAGGTCTGGCCCCATTAATTTTGTTACATCTAGTTTCCCGTGAATTTTTTTCCTCTCTTTCACAGTGACTGCAATGCCACCCGGTACTTCCACTGGCCTCTCATCTTAAAACCTTGGTCTTCACATTTGTTCCAAAATAAAAACCTCAAATCTTGCATTGAATTCCTCGCATGCCTTCTTATCATTATCTGAGAGCTCCACCCTTGTTTTCTCAATCTTAGTACATGGTCTCGCACTGTCTTTTTTCTCCTTATATGGCTGTAATTCAGCTTTGATTAGATTGTTTTATGATTCATTCTTCCGTGTTCTATTTAGTTTTTATATACACGTATTCCTAACCATATTAATATACAGTACTGTATATGTTTTTACTATTTATCCACTTATACACTTCAGTCATGCCACCCCCTAACTCTTTGCCTTTCTCTAGAATGTAAATTAGGGTTTTTTTGTTTCTATTGAAGAATTTGCATTTGTAGCAATGTCATTTTCAAATTGCCTCTCAGCTTCGCTTCTAATTCAGGTGTATTTGTGCATTGTTATCTTTAGTGCCTCACTATTGATCTGTTTCCAGCTCTACTTTTTCCGGGCATTTTCTGTCCTTTCTTTAGCCTCCCTGCATTGCCTATTGAACCATGGGTTTACAATACTGTTTTCATCCACCTCCTCCTTGAGTGGTACAGTGTATTAGTTTTTTTACTGCAGCGGCACACTTCTTTCTCAATGGATTTCCCACAAAGTCCCTCATCCTGTTGTAGTCCCCACATCTGTGATCTCTCATATTCTTCAATGGTTATCTTTATGTAACCAATTTCTTCAGTTCCACTAAGTATTCCAGCTTGACAAATGCAGTGGTCGCTAGCTCCTAGACCTAGAGGCATCTCATACTCTATTTTTTCAACATATGCTTCATTTTGGGAAAACGCCAAGTCTTGTGTGTGTGTGGCATACTGCTCCCCCAACACCCTCCCACACACACCAGTCTAAATTCTGCCATATAATTTAAGTTCACTGTATTTTCCAAGTGTCAAAACTAAATAATGAAATAGGTAAATGTATAGAGTGTATTAATGCAAAACACTTTATAAATTAAGAAGATAAATTATAATGTCAAAAAAATAGGCTATGACTGTTTGGTATTTCACCTATTACACTGATCCGCCACTGTATTCATGCACTATTTATACACAAATGTGACTCCAGCAACCGATCAAAGCTATTTTTTTTATTATAAAATATGTAAAAAAATTTAAGCTTATTAATGAAACACTGTAAATAAAAGGAAAAATAAGCCGTTCATGTGTGAAGAGAGGTAGATGAGCTGGCTCAGCCTTACATTCCTAGTTGCCAGTCAAGTGCCATAAATAATCACTCCAACTTATCCATGCTATTTTATCATAATTAAAGAAAAAGATATGGTAGAAGAAATAGTTTATTAATGTGATAACTTATAAATAATATTTAAAAACTATACAATGTCAGGATTGGTGATCCCCAAACCTATAGTAGTTAGCATGTCGTCTTGTGCACCAAACAGGTGTGTACAGAAGTTAGTTTTTAATTAAGCCAGAAGTTGTTTGCAGTAAGTGGCAGTTTGCACCAGGAAGCTTCATTCCACTGAGCTTCTAGTTTGTTTATTTTGTGAAAATAACATTGTTACAGTGCCAAAGAAATTCATTAATCCATCAGTAACCTTCCTTTGTTTTTCGTTTAGCACGGTAGTTCATGAATGTCATATCGTATTGGCATTAAATACTTATGAAAGTAGAACATGGCTTCTTATTGAAAATGTTCAGTGTAGCCCTCTAGTTGCCATTTTGCGAACCAATTATTTTTTTCACCAGGGTTCTTCATCTACAGAGTTGGATCAATTATTTCTGTGGATTCCCCCTGAAATGGAACCTGCTCCAACAGAAAATTGGAGGCTATGGCAGGATTCTTATCCGGTTAGTGTCCGATGCAATGGATTAGGTGTTTGGATAATCGAGAAAAAATAACACTAGCCCAGAATTTATTTATTCGTTATTTATATTTCCATTTGATTTTGGTATCAGTGTATATGCAGTGCATGTTCTATCATTTGCACTAATAAAAACAAAAACAAAAGTTGGAAATAAAATTGTGAAATGGCAAATATTGGATGGACTGGGGTGATTTGACCAATCTTTTCAAGCGGTAAACTTCACCCAACTTACTACACATGTTCTCTAGTAAGTTGCCAGATGTGCTGCATAGACTGGGAAACTTAACTGCTTAATTCAAATTATAATGGTTATATATTTGTTCACTACAGTATGCCAACTTTTTGTATAATATCTCTAGAACAGTGAAAAATAATCACTTCAGATTTGGTAAATATATACATTAGCTACGTATATGCTGACCACTTGAAAATTATGGGGGCCTTGGCTGACTACTATGATAAACATAAAAATTGAATAAACCACAAGTGTTTGTAAAGTATTTGGAATTCTTACAAGATTCTATTTTCATTTTTTCTCCTTCCCTTCTCACAAGAGAACCCCAAGAGTAGCTGACCGTAGCTAGCACTGGGGCTACAAAATCTTGGATACTAGGCTTTTAAGACGCACTCAAGGTAGGCAGAAGCCAGTGCCAGAATCTGGTGCTCTCTTAGGTATGAGGCAAAGGAAGCATGGGGATCAGAGAGAGGTGGTGGGTAGGAGGTTAGAGAGGATACGGTTATAGGCAGTCCTCATTCCTAAAAAATCTCTTCGAAAACAAAATTAATTTTATACGGAAAAAGTGGAATTGTTCCAGAGACCTCCAAAAGTAAACCTTTTACTGCTCTTCTCATACACATACTGTAACTGAACATTTTTATTAAATATTGTCCTACCTTCACTCTCCAGCACAAATACAGTACATAGTCAAGTGTAGAGCACATTGAAGGTACTATGATGCAAAAATATAATATAAAAAAGTGTAAAGCTCAAGACATTTGTGAGGAATTGCGAGATTGGAGCATCCTTGAATCTTGTCCAACAATTTGCATGCAAATGTGACCATTCTCCTACCATTTCAATGTTGTTGTTTAAACCAAATGATTTAACCTCCTGTACAGTGAGGGGCGACTGTATTTCATGTAAAATACAGTAATTGTGCATATTATGAGATGTACCTAGTTGCCCTTTCCCCATTCCCATTCCTTACCCTCTTGTCATGCAAGTTTTAATTTTAGGCAAGATATTCTATTTATTTTTACCAAATAAATTCCAATAGGTATCTATTTTCACCAAATAAATATCAATAGGTATTTATTTTTACCAAAACTAATTTATGCAAATGTACAAAGAATAAATGTATTTTGTCACTTTCTGTTAGGAAATTTAATAAAAATAAATTATTACTGTACAGTATATATTTGTGCATTTGGGTTAAAGATCTTTTATTTTTGCAGCTTTTCTTTAAGGATATGTATTTGTATATGAATTGCCATATAAGTATGAAAATTTAAAGTTTCAATGCTAATTCATGGTTTATCAATAGTTTAAAATGTTTCATCCAAAGTTGATGTGACAATGACTTACAGGCTGCTGGTCTTCGTCAGCAGCTGGAGCGACTACCAAGACGTGGAGGAGCCAGTAGTAGTGGAGGTGTTGGTAGTGGAGGAAGTGGCAGTGGAGGCAACAGCAGTGGGGGAGGTGGAGGAAGTGGTGGTGGCGGCGTTGGGGGTGGCGGTGGTGGTGGCGGCGGCAGCAGCAGTGGTAGTCACAGTGGTGTAATGGTGAATATTGGGTCTAGCAGCACAGCAAATGTTGTAACAACCCATCATCAGCCCCCTCCACTTCTTGTTCATGCTGGATCACATTCACAACCTCAGTCACAATATCTCCTGGCAAGGTACGTCTTCTCATTGTCAATAAGTATAATTTGTTTCAAGCTATTATCTGCAGTTCTTTTTTCTTTTGAATTGGGTTCACTAAATACACATTATTCATCTTCAATTAAAAGATAGGGAGTGAAGTTTTGTAATAATGTTACATAAATAAAACATTCATCGTAATTCACTGAGCATTCATGGTGGTTCTTCAGATAAAGCCTGTATCTCCATTGACATGCACAATTTTTCTCTGAAATTCATAAGAAAAAATTGATTGCACAAAATTGGAAGGTTATATAGGTAATGTATGTTATGCAGGTAATATATACGTAATGTGCAAGTGTGTTTTAACATGTAATGAACACACTAGTATAAAGGAATTCATCTCTGTATTCAGGGTTTACAAAACACCATTGTTCTCCTTATATGGAAGGGAAGACTGTGGGAACTATTGGGGGAACTTGTTTACTTAATATCCAGGAGGAATAGTGTATACTGAGGCACAAATTGAGAGTGCAAGAGAGAACTGAATGGAGAAAAATGGATGATCCGAATGGATTTAGTAAGGGAAATGGTTGTACATTTCAAATTTTAACCGAAAATAGTTGTTGAAACGTTTTTAGCAATGGAGTGTGTTGTCTAGTACCATTATGGATTTAAGAAGTGTATAACTAGATTTATTGTGAAGCTCTGTGGTAACTTGTAAATATCTATGTGGTTGGGGAAAATTTAATAACTCCAGCAAAATCCTTTATATGTATAGAAAAGCAAGTAAGAGAGTTAGGCAATTAATAATTTGTAATGTGGTGGTGGGGGATGAAAGAGGGTTGTATAAATCCCTATCTTTAGGATGTATGTGAATGTGTTAGAGAGGCAAAGGCAGACTGATTGTGGAAGTACTGTCCCTGGGATAAATTGTTGATGCTTGCATTTTGTATGCAGATGGTGTGGCAGTCTTTGCTAAGAATAAGTATACAAGAGGAAAACGTTGTAGGAAAAAGTAAGGTTATGGTGTTAGAGAGATGGAAATGGAATGTCATTGATTTTGTAGGTTTTACAGAGAAGGAAGATAGTGATTTGAACTATAAAATAAATATTGGGGGAAGATAAAATATTTTAAATATTTGCAGGCATTTATGTAAAAGTAAGGGAATAGGAGGTGAAATGATAGAGTAATAAGTGGGAGAAGTGGTAGGAAAGGTGACTAAAATAAGAAAAGTAGTAATGTTAGTACAGTACTGGAGTTGAGAAAAGACTGAAAGATAGTACTGTATACTTTCCCCAGCCCTAATGTGGAAGTGAAATGTAGTTATATAAAGGCATGCTTTACGGGGCCAATCCATGCTAACTCCTGAACATGTTCTCAGATTTATGTCTTTGATATTTAGCCTTTAAAACACAAGCATGGTTACTTTTAATATTAAAAAAAAATTGGTTGTTTTATTTTGTACACTTGTTAAACAAATATTACTGCAAAGTCCTCCACTGGGGGACTACCCCAACCAAAAGCAGGCAAAGCCCCAATCCTACTGGACTGCCTCCAAGCAGAGAAGCCAAAATCCCTCTGGAAAAGTACCTGACTGAGGATGAAAAGCAGCAGCTGCAGCTGAATTAACATTAGAAACAACTTCCTTGGGAAAGAGAAGAGATGAAAAGGGGGGGGGGAAGGGGGAAGACAAAAAAGTTAAGGACCAGGCCAAATCTAAATACTGATCCAGCACAGCCAACCTTCACATAAGATGGACCAAGTAAAAAGCCACCACTGCCTCCTGAAAGAGGAGGGGGTAGGGGGGGCAAGCAACTTGGACAGAGCCTCTGGAACTGCAGGCAACAAGGCAGCCACACCAGTGGCCAATGCCAGTATATCCAAGCCATCACAGAACTGGTCAGAGGAATAGCTCCACATCTGCCCAAATGCGCATGATGACTGCCAAGTTGGTATGAGTGTTGTGTTTTCTGCAGTAAGAACTCTAGAGAGCACAGGCAGCTGCACAAGGCCACTGACCCATGTACATGGAGAGCACTGGAACATACAGGCAATCCTCAAGCTGCATTTAAGGAGCATAACCCAAGAACACATGACAACACCTACCTCTTAAACATTCAGGTTTGACAGAACCTATGCCGAGGCCCTCAAAGAGAGGAGGGGGTTCTCAGCCTGCCATTATTACTCTGGAACCTCATACCATAGCTAATAGGCAGCAGCAGACCCGAACTCAGACAAGGCCGGGTCCAGCAAGGAAGCGAAGCCCAAATTCTGCAGTAGAAACTGTTAGTTCCACCCACGCCACAGAAGGCTAAAGGCAGGAAGCTGGAAGCTTCTGGAAATATGACTATTCCGTGGACCCAAATGGTACATGGAAACGCACTCTAAGAGGATCAGCCAAGTGATCGGGCTTGTGCATCTGAGGGGGAATAGGTAGAGACATCTTCCTGGTGCAAAATACCATCTGCAGACAGAACTAAAGTCCAGGAGTAGTTGAAGAGCACCCATGGACTCTCCAGGCTCTGAAGCCAGCCATAATGGCATTTTGTGCTAGATGCACACAGAAATCACAGTAACGTGATGTATCAAATGAACAAATCCACAAGGGCCATGACGAGGATTCGAACCTGCGTCCGGGAGCATCCCAGACGCTGCCTTAATCGGCTGAGCTACGACATGGTAAAAGAGTTGAAACCGAAGTTCTACTGAACTTACTGGATCCTGCAGCCTCTCCGAGACACAAACCAGGGTTTTACACAACTCCCCCATGCACTCGAGCTATGTCGATAGGCCATTCTCCCTCTTCGCCCTTACATCATTACACGAGAGGGAGAACGGCCTGTTGACATAGCTCGAGTGCATGGGGGGAGCTGTGTAAAACCCTGGTTTGTGTCTCGGAGAGACTACGGGATCCAGTAAGTTCAGTAGAACTTCGGTTTCAACTCTTTTATCATGTCGTAGATCAGTCGATTAAGGCAGCGTCTGGGATGCTCCCGGACGCAGGTTCGAATCCTCGTCATGGCCCTTGTGGATTTGTTCATTTGTGCCAGATGGCTTTGACAAGAAGACACTATTCCATAAAGAAGGATTGGAGCTACAGTACAGTATTCATCGGAGGTATGCACTGCCTGCTCAATGTGGCAAAAAGGGAATGATAGTCTTGTGGGTGAAAGATTATAGACAGAAGTATGCAATGGCTAGATGTCATGGCAGGCATTAGCTCTGTACCAGCCATAATACCAGAGCAAGTGGCCTCCTGGCTATCTTCATGAATGGTTATGTACTGCATTTTGCTCCATGGTCATAGGTGTTTGTTTTTCTTCCTCTATTAGTGGTTTATGTGGTATGACAGTGTTGTTATGGCACCTACCAAGGAACTAAACAAAGAACCATTGTTGAGATTGTTTTAAAGAAAGCAGGCCACCAAAGTAAGGAAATAAGTTATTTGTTGGGTATAGCCAAGTCGACATGAGGAAGTATTAGGCATGTTTTCGATGGGGAAACAGTGGTGATGCACCATCACAGAAACATTGGTCTAATCATTCCTGGAAGATTTCTTCAAGGTGTACCCTTGCTGTAACAGGAAGGGTACTCTCCAGTGAACACTTCAGAATGTACACAGACCTGGAAGACATCTTCCTGGGATGACCAGACCGATGTTTTTGTGATGGTGTGTCACCTGTTTTCCCCTTTAGAAATGCACACAATATTTCCTCATGTCAACTTTGCTACACCCAACAATTAACTTGAAGCAGGCCACCAAAAGGAAATAAGTTACTTGTTGTGTGTAGCCAAGTTGAAAGTCCTCGTGCAGACTTATCAGCCCTCCAATATATTTCACCCTCTCTGGATTTCCTGTCTGACCTTCTGTATAATCACTATAGCTTGGGTTTGCTTCACTTTGCAGGCAGATTCCTGAACGGTGATCCTGGACCATAAGGATGGATACTGGCACAGCTTTATTCATTCATTCTAGATTCTGGGACTGGTTAGGGTTTCTTGTAGATGTCAGGCTTACCGTTCCAGTTTTTTGCCCTTTATCTTGAATATCGCTCCTTGGATCTTTTACCCAAATAATGTGGGTTATTGAGACCCGGTTATATCTCTTGGGGGTTTATGTTTTGGCCTATTTTAATGACTGGCTGGTTTGAGTTTCCAGCCAGTCCATGTGTCAGCTAGCCAGGTTTCCCAGTTTTGGGTTCTTGATGAATTGGTGGAAGTCTTGTTAGTTCCATTCCAGGTTCAGACTTGTTTGGACCTGGTTTGGGATTCCTGTTCAGCATCTTTTCTTTCCCTTGCTCCCCTCAGTTTCGTTCTGCCAGCAGCAGCATTGCTGTGTAGTGTTGAACCAGCCTTGGGTGGACCCAAGAGGTCCACGTCATCAACAGGTTGCGCAGGATCCAGACCATTGACTGCATGGCTTAGTATTTTCCCTGGGCAGGATTTGGTATTGGTTCCTCTGGTGCCACCCATTTAGCCATTGCCAGGACTATCAAGTTCGGGGCCCTGTATGCCCTTTGTTGCCTCTTGCTTTGCCAGCTTCCTTGTTAGGCTGATATGACTGATATGACATATGGCTGATATGACTGATATGACTTTCTATGGCTGATATGACTCTGTAGGAAAAGCTATCTTAATGAGATACATCTCCTCCAGGAAGCCACAGAGGAAGAATGAGACTTTTCATTAACATTCTATGTTGTCTCTTTTTAATATATGTAAATCCTTGTTGCGCCTAGCATTGCCTTCTCATTAGCAGCTTGCAATCTATTTATCTGGCATGCTATGAATGTGTGCACGTGAGTGCGTGCAAGTATCAGATTTGGTGCCAAACCAATAACAAGTGTATCACATAACATAAGAATAAATGAAACTGTAGAGGGCCTATTGGCCCATTCAAGGCAATTCCTATTTATATCTACCCACACTCATTCATATATTCAGTATACATCTAACTTATGCTTGAAACAATCCAGTAATCTCGCATCTATTATAATACCTGGTTATTTGTATATTAAATCAACAATCGTGTTTCCAAACAGTAAGGAATGAAAGTAAGGTTGATGGCACTTAAAAGGATTCAGTAGATATATAACAAAAATTAAGACATTGCAAAGGCTAAGGGAAAACTTTCCAATAAAATCAAGTTGGATCTGGAACCTGCTTATGAAACAGCTCATGAGTGAGTAATAAAAAATTATTAAAAATCAAATATTCAGAAAAATTTTAGTGAAAAACCTGATTAAAGAATCGTAAATCAAATTGAGAGTAACATACATATAAAAAACATTTTGTTCATTTTAGAGGTACCTAAGCAAATCGTGGAGGAAATAAACATTGGCTTGAAAAACTGAACATGGGTAAGTGATTTGTCTTGACTTGTGCACCAAGACAGGGAGTGAAACATTCAAAGATGCCATTGAAGATTTCACAAATACCTGTAGTGGGAAATTAATCATGAGGTTGGAAGCTCTAATGCAGGCAACAGAAAGGAGGGAAAACCTATAATGCTTATTCTAAAAGAGGGATGAAGAAGAATGTGCTGAAAAACATTTAAAGCTGTATGCTAAGTAAAATAAAACTTTCTTGTGGTTTGACAAACAGGAACAGAATAAGGGATGAGGAGGACAGACTAAGGGGTTAAGAACTTTACAGATGAAGCATGAGCTAAAATTAAGGAAAAACAAGATTGTTCTCTGTAGTGTGGGATGGGGAACCCATGGGAAAGTTGCATATTGAAGCTCAAGTGGAAGGAAAACAGCATGGCAGGTACATAATAAAATAATCTTAAATATAATGTAGTAGGAAACTGGAATACTTTCCTTAATTTTCCTTGTGCAGTTCTGCATTGTATTTGTATTTTTTTTTTTTTTTGCTACCTGTATAGAAATCACCAGTACTTATATTTATACAAACAAATACAGTATCTGAAAATGCCTGGTAATAAATTATGCATTTAATAAAATTTCAAGGTTTTGATATTTTCCCATTGTAAGTTAAACAACTATTCTTTTGTATAAATGAAAATGTTGATAGCCTTTCACATTATGTTGGTCATTGCTCTTTTATTTATAATTACCATGTTTCAGGCTGGGAGACAGTGAGAGTGATATAGATGGCAGTAGTGGGAGCAGTGATCGGGCAGGATTTGTCCAAGAACTGTTACTCTCCACACTCTGTGATCTCAGTGTTAGCCCAGGAGCCTTGGGAGATGGAAGTTTATTACCAGCATCACTTGCAAAGCGAGGTGGAGTGGCTCATGAGACAGATGTTTCTAAAGGTGATAGTGAGAGGGCTTTAAAAGTTGTAATATCATCTGATGTAGGAACTCAGACCAACTCAAGTACTCCTCCTATATCCAGCACTACTACAACAACAACTACGCAGACTAATATGCAGCATCCAGCCATGCCACAGTCAAAGACCCCTAATACCATGAAATCTGTCAAAGGGGCGAAGGGTGTTGTTGTTGGTCGATCTAGTCCAGGAAGTCAGCAACAGCAGCAGCAGCAGCACCAACAGCAGCAGCAGCAGCAACAGCAACAGCAACAGCAGCAGCAGTCAAATGGAGGAGGGGTGGTATCTCGGCCACTGACGGGGACGGGAACAGTGGCTGTCTCCCCTGTGGGGGGGCCAGGAAGGGGCCGAGCATCGGGGGGGTCAGTGTCTCCCGGTGCAGCCCGCCGGAAACTGGTTCGCGGAGTAGAAGGCCGAGCTACAGAGCCTCCTCCTCCTCACTAGTGCCCGCAGAATCTAGTCCAGCACCAGAAGGTCTTCCCAATGCCAACGAACCTTGCCCCTGCCATCCTTGTCCTTGCCACCCTTGTACCTGCCTGTAGCAAGCCAAACCAAAGAGGAAGGCAGGAGCCAAGATGTTTTGACAGTCCTGCAAACAGTTTGGCTTTGGTATAAATGTTGGTCAGAGGATGCGCTTGGAAGATAATTGTATATGGTGTGCATGGATATGTAAAGTTGTGTGTGCCGCAGTAAGATGAAAGGAAGCAGGTAGGCAGGCAGGCAGGCAGGCAGGCAAATTAGCAGAAAAAATTGGGAGGAGGCTTTTGGTGCCAAGATTTAAATTGTACATAGCACATGCTGTTTAAGCATGTCATATTGCTGTGTATAAAATATGTTCAGGCCTTCATAATACTGCATAGCTTTACCCTAACCATTCATGAAATCACATTATTGGCATTGTACTCAGTACTGTTTCCTTCCCTCACCCTTGATAACCAGAATCACTCACAACTATTTCTTGTATGATATATATTTCAAATTGATAATAGGTTTGATTTTTTCAATGTGGTTTTGCCAATACACATAGGTTTTGAAGATTTTTGCCCAAATAGTGTTTGAAATATTTATAAATTGTATTTTTTGTTGCAAATGATATAACAGTAATTCTTATTATAGAGCTTCACTTTGCTTTGGTAAGATGATTTTGAATCACTTACCTGCAGCCTAGCACAAGACATATTATGTAGAGTTATCTAGGGGACTTGTCTGTATTTTATTGAGCCTCTCAAGAAACTTTTTCAAATAAAAATTAACTGGGATGGGGAGGGGTGATGGACAGCTCCATAAGCAAACTACCATCTCTTACCAGCAGTAGTTAAGCACCATGCCATACATCACTTAGACAATTTTAGCAAGGTTCCTGTATTGTCACCCCCAGCTGTTCTAAGCCATGTGCATTTAATGAATGCTGTATTTCACCGTGATACTTGGGAATTTTGAGCCTTATTAAAATATTGTCCCCCTGGGTGTAATTGGAGATGCATCAAAATTATTGTCTCCTGTTAGGCTGCACAGTGATGTTTTCTTAGTGCACTTGACTGATTCTTCATATGATGAACAAGTTAGACTGAGAAGCAGTTTTTCAGATTTACATTGCAGCCCAGATTGAGCTGAAATATGTTAACATTTTTGGGAATGTTTATGGAATCAAAGTTGTATGTTCTTTAAGCTCATCTCTTTTTATAAAAGCAGGTGTATTTTGTGACAAGATCAGCAATATGGGCTATATTTGTCTTCATTAGAAACTTTTCCAGCTGTAATACATGGAACTGTACACTTAAGGGAGAATACATGAAGCACACAGTGGTGGATTCATTACATTACATGTGCAGCATTAGAGGGCTTCTGGCTAGCAGCAGGGTTCCGACTCCTGTATGTTTGATTTATTTATATAACTGTTTGGGTGTTAAGCATTGTGTGTGAAGAAAACTTACACCCTGCTACTTCAACTTATCTCAATATTTTCAAGTTTTGTGAGAGACGGCTGTTAATATCTTCAAGTTAAAAAAAATTAAATACTTTTTGCCATACATAGTGAAAGATAATGATAAAAGATTATTAACTAATTGTCTAACTTTATGATTTACTTAATGATTTGTGATGCTAAACTTGATATTTAGTGGTTAACTCAAAAGCTGAGAAATTATTAGTTTTGCACAAATTATGAAAGTGAAAACTCGGCTTAATATCTATTTTGCCCGGTGTCTCGGATCTGTCTCAAACCCTTGGCATTGTACAGTAAGCATGCAAGCCTTTGAACCAATTACAACTTAACAGAATAAAAGCTCACATTTGCCCTGTTTTTCATCATATTGGAAGTGTAATAAAACTCAAATTGTAACTTTCTCTGCTTGTTAGTAGCGTGCTTGTATTAACTCAAGGGCAAGAGTCGAATCCATAGCAGTGAATTAGGTATTGCAATGTTCTCGTGTATCACACGACACTTGTTGGACTTTCATCTTGGGCTCTGGACTAACATACTTGGGAGGCTGCTAACCTGCTCAGCAGAAACTAGTGTTCGGGATATTACTTTGTAGCTTTGTAAATTTACTTATAAGTAGTGCTGTAATTAATATGAATGCTAATATCTGATGGACCATTTCCTGGTGGCAACTTTGTTTATAGAATATTATCAGGCCAGGGCTCAAGGTAGAGAGGGAGCACAACTTTTCCTCATGTTTAAATATGAATCTTTGGTATTGTTTCTGGATTAATGGTGAAGCAGAAACTCATGAGTCTCAACACCTGCAGTATGCTAATGTGCCAATGTTTTACTAACATGATGTACTTCTACCATACAAGTCTGTTCTTGTGATGACAGCACCTTTAAGTTGAAAAAATATTGTGTTGACCATTAATGATAAGAGTTTTAATGCCTCTAAAGGGTAACAGATTGATGAGTGATAATCTACATGTATATATATATATATATATATAAAACTAACAATGCCAATATATGACCCATATAATATTTAGAAATTTGACTAGCTTTGTCAAGTATTACTTGAAAGCAAAATTTAATGAAGTATTGCAAGATAAATCTGTGGTCAATAATACCACATTTTGCTCTGGTGGGATGGTATAAGTAATTTATATTTAGGTACTGGATATTAAAATGTGATAAAATCCTTGCACTTGAATTTTGTGGTGGCGTTGTAGATGATGATGACAGATGCTGCTACTAGTGCACCAATACTTTGATTATCTGGCTCACTCACTCACTTGAAACCTCAACATCAGGTTTTTGATTACTAAGCTTGCTTTGTGATACCACTTGAATTCCTGGACTAGTGTAAATACTAAACCCTGCTGTACTGGTTAATCAAGGAATTGGTGCAGCTGTCCAACTGATGCTGCACAATTCTGTGGTTGGCCTTACATCAATGGTCTTTCATAAGAAGTTTATTCCAGACAATTTTGGAAAACAGTCGTTGGCTAATTGTGTAATTTATAATACTGTATTGCTAATTGGAGACCCTATATGCAATACAGTTGTTATGATTTAAAAAGTATGGCCATGGATATAGATTTCTAGAAGGTGCCTGTTTAAAAAAACTAAAGATGTGTGGGGGGCGTTTGTGTAAATATTTAGCCATACATGCATCAGCACACACTGACTTTGCATAGATATGTATATATTTATTATTATTACTAGTAAATCATAGTTTGTTTACACATATTTTGTCATTTAAGTAGGGTCATATTTATAATAGCTCCTTTTTTTTCTTTTCTTTTTTTAGTATTTGCAATGGCACCCAGTCTGCATATTTAGGGATCAAAATCTCTCTATATACAGTGTCTTGAAGAAAGTGTAGGAAGCGTCAAAATGCCGTTATCATCTGTGTCCTCCTGGCATGTAGGATGAACCAATAGTATTCATGATATACACTTTGAGTGTTAATTATTTTTGCTTGTCTACCAGTGATCTTGGAGATTGTGGATGTTTACTGAAACAACATTCATATATTGCAGTCGAATTTGATTAATATGGTAGATTATCTTTTGCTGTTAAATTTTTACCATCTTGCGGTACTGTTTATGGAAAATGTCTAAGACAGATTTTTCTAAAATTAAATAATTTGATAATGGAGGACAGTTTGTGTTTGAAAATGAAATGGCATCATTGCAGTTCATTGTACTGTACATCAGTTTAATGGAAAAAAAAATTGATGATTTTAGATGTAAATAGTAATTCAGATTAACTTCATTATGAAATGGTAGTACAGTATTTATACTCAACATTGTAGAAATAATTTCACTTTGATATCATTGTACTTAATGCATTTGAACTATTAAGAGATGCAAAAATTATACACAAGCAGTGTTTGTGACCAGTATAAAATTAGGAAATGGTAGTTATTAAATTTCTTGCATGAAAAATTTGGAAATCCATGTGTACAAATTTTTGTTGAGCCATTGCTGTGATAACAAAAAAAAACTGGGAATGATGCCAGCTTTTGTAGGTCACTGGAAAAATAGTTCTTTTGCAAAATGTAAATTATGGTAAATGTCTCAAATTACAAGTGACCATAAACCATGCTAAGTGTTTTTTGTGATTTTCCTAAATCCAAATAGACAAGACTTGAATGACACATTGATGCTCCTTAGTCAAGGAAGAGCTGCATGTGTGAATTTCATAATTCTAAGTTAAAAGACAGGTAATCCTGAGCATGTTTAAAGATATCTTTTGCAGAATCAATCGTCTGGAAGCTCTTAGTTGTACATTACTATTTATGCAGCAGGTTGATGATCAAATGGCACTACGTGATGGCATAATTTTCATAAAAATGAATGCTGCAAAATTGTCTCAAATTATTGTAACTGAATATGATTACACAATAATGCATGTAACAAATTTGATTTTAGTCTAGATGAAAAGTATAGTAGTATTGCAACAAATCTCATATATGCATCTTTAAAATATAAATCCATATTTTGTAAATGGAAATGAACAAATCTAAATTGCTTAATAATATTCATGTGCTATGAAGTCCTATCTGGGTTACGAAAGAGGAATCCTCTCACGTCACGTAAGAGCAAAATTGGCTGCAAATTTTATCCATCATCATCCATTCTAAAGTTCTACCCATACAGTTTTTTGCTGTCGGTTAAAGTGAAAACTTCCAACGTTTTGAAGTCTGTAATTTTAACCCTGGTTTCTTTAACCAAAACTACCAAAAAAATAATAAACGTAATCTGACACATGAGAATAGTTTGACTGTTCGACCATGACTTGATAGTGCTCTAGAACTGGTGACCTAAAAGGTATCTCTATTGATCAGAGAATTTGCTTATTGGGTTACTTGTGCATGGAAAGCAGGTGCCTTCTAATTGCACTTAAAAAAAGCATTGGAAAATTAATTAGGTAACTTGGGTAAACTAAGCAAAGGGTAAGGGAACAATAATAAAATAAACGAGACAAACAAGTTTTTTATTTATATTAACATCTGTCAAATGTTAAATGACTGCAATGTGGCTGCAGCCAAGAGAAAACTTCCTAAGAAAAACAGATCCAAAAAGAACATTTTCTTTAGAAAATATAATAAATTATTTTTATTGAGAAAATCCATAGAAGCCTTGATGAGGATTTTAACTTGTGCAGTGGGTAGTCCTACGTAAACGCCCTAGACAAAGGTGGGACTACCCACCACATAGGTTTAAATCTTCAAGACTCCTACGGTGTTTCTCATCGATACATAACATTAGTGTGATTACTGCGTAGTCTATTCATTATTATTATTATTATATGCATCTTACAAAATAACAAAATAGTGCTTTGCTAAACAACATAAGTAGTAATTTGTGTGCGAAGTACAATAATATCAAGTGGGGCTTGCAAGACAAAATTTGCTAAATTGGCTAGTATGAAACTTTTATCATGCTTAAGCAGTTATTTTCTCATATTGATTTAAAAGTGTTGCCCAGAAATAGTTATACACAAATAATATTTGTTGGATCATCCAGTGGTTATTCAATTTGGTGTGGCTTCTTACCATTGATATAAGCTGACAGTGTTTGCAATGATCGCTCTGTATGTAATGACGCCAGCAATTCTAAGCTTCAGTAAGGCTTTTCCGCAGTAAGGTTTGTCTCCATTGTCATACTGGAAAATGAGCCTTATTGATGAATTTTTAAAGAAAATAAACTCATGATTGCTGATCTCGCATATCTTAAAAATATTTTTTAAAAGTTGCTGCAGAGGCAAGTTGCTCCATGCCCAAAACAGTACTTGTGTTATACTGTATCATAGGTTTATTGATGGAATAATAAAAATGTTTTTTGGCAAATTGTGTTTATTTTCAGTCGTACGTACTACTGTAGAGAAATGTAAGCTTGTACTTGTACTTGACTTACAAATGCAGAGAAGTGGCTTTGCATAACACTGATGATGTTTTTATAATTGTCACTTATTTAAACAGCATTACAAAAATACCGCACATCAATGGCCAGTGTCTAACTGAACAATAATGCTCAGCACACCAGTTTCCTGGATAATGTAATCAGTGCTTTTAAAGGCGAATTCTGCAATGTAAAGATAGGATCAGGTTTCACCACTATATACTAATACCTGGTCTCTGATCTAAAATACCATGTTAAATTGCTATACAGTACTAATAGTAATGTAATAATGGTTATGGATTGGAATGTGAGTGATTAAAGATGTGATGAACACCTAAAATATATTGGCATTAATATATTTACATTACATTACAGCATTAAAGGTGCTGAACTTTCTTGCAGTTTTTGTTTTTTTTTTTTTTGGTGGTGGTGTTTTAACTGATGCTTAAATACCACTTGGTAACCTGCCACACAGTTTGATTTTACTCCATTATTTATTTATTATTTTATTTTACATTTTCACTTGCGGGAATTTTTTTTCATGCTTTTGACCCTGTACACAGGTGCAGCAATTATATATTTATTATTTTTTTACTTTGTTAAAAGGAGTGCCAACTGCCTCTGCAATAGATAAAACAGTAGCAAGTTTTTTTTAACTTTTAAAGTATAAATTTAATTGGTAAAATGCTTGGGAAGATAGTTCTTCAAACAGTAGGAAACTCCTTTGCCACACACAGTGCATGAAAGTATAAAATGTTAGAAAATAATTACATTAAGTACATATTCAAAAAGGGTGGAAGCATTGTTATAGGTGAAGACACCATTTTAAAATTGGTAAAGATTACCAGATATGATTATATTCCCAATCAGTGCATGTCAATAAAATTGGCTTTTATCTATAGGATGAAGGCAGTCAAAGTGGTTGTTTTGAGCAGGCAAATTGTTTTGGTATATTAAATACAATTGTTTCATACTAACTGCAGGGAACTGATGTATTTTTAGTTTTGTTTTATTAAATTTTCAATAATTAAGAGGGAGATGAGTTGGATGGTTATGTACATTTTTTAATAGACATTACTGAAAAAACATCAGGAAACATGAAAAATAGATTAATCTTTTCTAAATATTGAAAGTGTGTATATTGCTGTAAATGCAGCTTAGGGAATGGCTCCTCACTTGTGCACAGTAAACTACCACTCACAGGATGAGTATGAGGTGCATAATAAACTACCACTCATAGAATGAGTATTGGGTGCATAATAAACTACCACACAGGATGGGTATAGGGTGCACAATAAATTACCCCTCAGGATGAGTATGGGGTGCACAATAAACTACCACTCGGGATGAGTATGAGGTGCATAATAAACGTCTGCTCATAGGATGAATATGGGGTGCACAATAAACTACCACTCACAGGATGAGTATGGGGTGCACAATAAACTACCACTCACAGGATGAGTATGGGGTGCACAATAAACTACTGCTCACAGGATGAGTATGGGGTGCACAAACTACCACTCACAGGATGAGTATGAGGTGCACAATAAACTACCACTCACAGGATGAGTATGAGGTGCACAATAAACTACCACTCACAGGATGAGTATGGGGTGCACAATAAACTAGCGCTCACTGGATGAGTATGGTGTGCACAATAAACTACCACTCACAGGATTAGTATGAGGTGCACAATAAACTACCACTCACAGGATGAGTATGGGGTGCACAATAAACTACCACTCACAGGATGAGTATGGGGTGCACAATAAACTACCGCTCACAGGATGAGTATGAGGTGCACAATAAACTACCACTCACAGGATGAGTATGGGGTGCACAATAAACTACCACTCACAGGATGAGTATGGGGGTGCACAATAAACTACCGCTCACAGGATGAGTATGGGTGCACAATAAACTACCGCTCACAGGATGAGTATGGGGTGCACAATAAACTACCGCTCACAGGATGAGTATGGGGTGCACAATAAACTACCACTCACAGGATGAGTATGGGGTGCACAATAAACTACCGCTCACAGGATGAGTATGGGGTGCACAATAAACTACCGCTCACAGGATGAGTATGGGGTGCACAATAAACTACCGCTCACAGGATGAGTATGGGGTGCACAATAAACTACCGCCCACAGGATGAGTATGGGGTGCACAATAAACTACCGCTCACAGGATGAGTATGGGGTGCACAATAAACTACCGCTCACAGGATGAGTATGGGGTGCACAATAAACTACCACTCACAACAATAAATCAAACTAAACACACAGTACAACTCGCGTATGTAGGGAGTTGTGACCCTTGGGAGTCACTTTGTCTTTCATTTACCCTTATATATACACACACACATCACATAAATTAGTTTATAAATACTATACATTATAAATACCAGCTTATACAAACACAACGTCCTGGTGGATATGCTTTAAACTGCTAAATTGTTCGCACACAAGATGAGGAGAGACTTTCTCAAGTCAAAATGAGCAGCAAATTAGAGCTCTGGTAAAGATTCAGGTTCCCGAGACTTCGAGACTTTCATACTTTAGTTTGGATCAACACTGAAGCCTGAGCAACTGTGACGTCACTAGTTAGCCAAAGAAAATGGACGCAATATAGAAAACTGTAAAATTCAGAGATGAATATGGGGAGATTGTTGTAATATATCATTGTTTCGCAGGGTTTACCTGAAGTCTTTGCCTGAGAGCCACTAACACTAGTGATCTCGACTAGGACAGGAAGTGGCTGCTTGTCGAAAGGGCCCTCCCCTTTTCCTTGATTATCTTTTCCTGCTATACTTTAAAAGTTAACAGAGTTTTGGCATTTACGGCTTCAGCGGGTAGGCAGTTCCATGAGTTTTTTTTTTTTTTTTTTTTTTTTTTTTATATACAAGAGTTGTTACATTCTTGTACAGCCACTAGTACGCATAGCGTTTCGGGCAAGTCCTTAATCCTATGGTCCCTGGAATACGATCCCTTGCCGCGAAGAATCGTTTTTTCATCCAAGTACACATTTTACTGTTGAGTTAAACAGAGGCTGCAGTTAAGGAATTGCGCCCAGTAAATCCTCCCCGGCCAGGATACGAACCCATGACATAGCGCTCGCGGAACGCCAGGCGAGTGTCTTACCACTACACCACGGAGACTGTTTAGTTTATAACCCTATGGGTGAAAAAGCATCTCATGTTCTCAGTCCTACAATTTGGCTTGTTGAGCTTGAACCCGTTGTTCCTCGTTCGTGTTACATCTGACCTTTTGTAAGATGTCTGTATCAACATCCTCCAAATTGTTCAGTATTCAGTATTTTAAAAATTTCAATGAGATCAACCTTGTCATGTGTGGTTTGTAGTGGTTTGCCCTGTGGTTTTGCCTGGTATGACAGTCGTCTTAGTTCTAGAATGATTTTTGTTGCACGGTGTTGAACTTTCTCCAAAGCAACTATATTAGCACACTATCTTGTGCTTCCCACTCACCCATTTTAGTACTTAAGACCTGCAACTTCACCGTTATAATCAATGCGATCAACTTATAATGTAGTTATTATAATGAACTCAGATTCTGCTACAATGTACCTATTATTACTTGTACTTTTATTAGTTAGATTAAGGACCTGCCTGAAACTATGAGGGTCAGTGGCTTTACAAGAATGTATTGCTGAAACACCAACGTTATGTACTCTCACGACCCATTGTACTTTCTTGTACATAATTAAATAAATAAATTAGTTAATTAATTAATTAATAAGTAAATACAAAGAAAATATGGGCGCACGTTAAATTAATGGAACTCAAAAGGTGGGTTGCCAATTCCGGATTTGGTTTCTCGACGAATTTTCGTCGAGCCCACTATTGAGATAATGGCGCTGAGGTAAATTCAGGTAAAATTCTATATATTTTTTTTTTTTGCATTTTTATATTGTAGATCATTATCTAATTTTTGCCTTAGTTCTTTTTTGTCCACACTCTTTCTTACATTAGTCTAATTTATATATCCACAGCTAGTATTCCCCATTTTTTATGCATGCAGACTGACATTGACCCTGAAGTACATCTGTTATCATATACCTACAATAACCAGCACATTGGTAGTCATTACTACTACACGGCAAACTATGCCAAAAGCAAACTTCAAACTAACACTAGCCTATCAGATTTTAAAAATGACAGATCACTCAATAAAATTATCTGCTGATGTAGACCTGACCAAATGCAAACTGTGTCAACAAAATTATTCGCACACCCTCCGTCACTATGTGATGGAGTGCGAAAAGATACGAGAATTTAGGGACAATTCTATAACCAATGTTCCAGCGATGTGTCAATATTTCATTCAAAATGATCTGCTACCAGAAATTTTAGCCAAATATCCCCAGTTTGCTAACTGTAGGTAGTAACTAAGTGATTGTAACCTATCCACCGCTGCCCACTGGATGGGGGGCGGTGTGCAGGACAAACATATAAATTTTGACACTAGCTCTCCACATATGTCAGTTGCTTAATTTAGAACCTGTACTTGAGGTCGATTTCGAACCCATTGTTGATGTGATGACTTATATTGAATTTTGTAACTAGCTCATCAAGATTGTAACTTGCTTAGCTAAATGAATTGTGGGGTTTAGTCCCTGAGCCCATTATGTGCCTCTGTAACCCTTTCCACTACCGCCCACAAGATGGGTATGGGGTGCATAATAAATGAACTAAACTAAAAAAAAAAAACAGTTTGGTGACTATGAGCCATTAGAAGAAGCACTAGGTACTAAACTTTCTTTCATTGACTTAACAGAAATATGCTAAATAAAAACCTTACCTAATTTTAGGTTTAGCCAGATATTTAGCCATTCATAACTGTTATCAAGATAACTTTACCTACATTCGAGACATCAATAGAGACTACTGTTATCAATATACTTTTGCTCAGTTCTCGCTCTAACC